CCCTCCTCCTCCTCCTCCTCCTCCTTCTTCTTCTTCTCTTCTTCTTCTTCTTCTTCTTCTTCTTCTTCTTCTCTTCCTTCTTCTTCCTTCTTCTTCTTCCTTCTTCTTCTTCTTCTTCTTCTTCTTCTTCTTCTTCTTCCTTTCTTCTTCTTCTTCTTCTTCTTCTTCCTTCTTCTCTTCCTTCTTCTTCCTTCTTCTTCCTCTCTTCCTTCTTCTTTCTCCTTCTCCTTCTTCTCCTTCCTCCTCCTCCTTTCTTCTTCACTTCTTCTTCCTTCTTCTTCCTTCTTCTTCCTTCTTCTTCTTCTTCTACTTCTTTCTTCTCTTCTTCTTCTTCTCCTTCTTCTTCTTCTTCTTCTTCTTCTTCTTCTTCTTTCTTCTTCTGCTTCCTTCTTCTTCTCTTCCTTCTTCTTCCTTCTGCTTCCTTCTTCTTCCTTCTTCTTCTTCTTTTTCTTTCTTTTTCTTCTTCTTCTTCTTCTTCTTCTTCTTCTTCTTTTTCTCCTCCGCCTTCTCCTTCTTTTTTTTTCTTCTTCTTCCTGTTCACTGGCTGGAAACTCCGATGACAAATTGTGATTGTTCGGCCACTTCTGAACTTTATTCCCAGAACTTCAGGTTGACATGTATATTTGTTTTATAGATCTGATCTATTTGTATGCAGCCTGTTAGTTCCCCAGCACTCAGGTGCATTCCGTCTTCTAAGAAAGATTCATAATTAGTCGGCTGTTACGACATGGATGTTAGGGAGCAGTGGGTCTCCTTGTGTTCACACACACACACAGGGAAAGGTGGGGGTTTGAGTATCACACATGTTGTGTTTGTGTTTGTGTGGGAGAGGGGGGAGGGTGATGGATCACAACATGTGTTGTAGTTGATATTAAAGTGTAACATGACAGGGATTATGTGATATGAACCTTGAAGAAACCGGCTGTCTGCTTTAATAACCAGTGGCGCCGGCTGGAGCACAGGTCGCTCCCACAGTCATAACATGGGCTGATGTTGTCATGAGGGATGTTCATGTTGTGACACGTGCTGACATCCAACACTCGATGTTTCCGTCTGCCGTCCTCCTCCGCCCCCCCCCCCGCCCCGCCCCACCCCAACCGCTTGACCCGGCTACCACCATTGTCAACAATCAGGTGTCCCAGCATCTCTGTCACATTGTATACATCACTTCCGCACGCCTTCAGGACTTTACCTCGTACCCACTCAAGGCTGGGTTGACCTTGGAGCCAATTCAGTTGTGAAAACATCAGGCTGGATGAGGATTTGAACCCGCATAATTGGGGCTTGAGGCGAGCGTATGCTAGTTGGTCTACTGGACTGTGTGGTCGAGCCCTCGCCAGCTCGGCTGTTGAGGTCCACCAACACTTATACAGCTTTATATAGATGTTTTACTGGCTAGGATGGATCAACACTTGTACAGCTTTATATAGATGTTTTACGGGCTAGGACCAACACTTATACAGCTTTATATAGATGTTTTACTGGCTAGGACCAACACTTATACAGCTTTATATAGATGTTTTACTGGCTAGGATCAACACTTGTACAGCTTTATATAGATGTTTTACTGGCTAGGATCAACATTTGTACAGCTTTATATAGATGTTTTACTGGCTAGGATCAACATTTGTACAGCTTTATATAGATGTTTTACTGGCTAGGACCAACATCTGTATAGCTTTATATAGATGTTTTACTGGCTAGGATCAACATCTGTACAGCTTTATATAGATGTTTTACTGGCTAGGACCAACATCTGTATAGCTTTATATAGATGTTTTACTGGCTAGGACCAACATTTGTATAGCTTTATATATAAACTAGGATCTTTATTCTTCTCTTCTTTATCCGATTGTTGTTGTTTTCTTCTTCTTCTCCTCTTCCTTCTTCACCACCACTACCACAACAATAACATATCAGATATCTAGTTTACAGTACAGTACGAATGCAGACCACAAACAAGCCGTAACTATAGCTCCAGTGTTGTCAACTTCTTTATACAGCAAACAATCAATACACAGAAATGTGCTAAAATAAATACACAATAATTCATTCTATGCCAGACTGTAATATTTTCAATAGATTAAGCACACACATAGCAACAGTAGTGGCGTAGTAGATAGCCACCTCTATTACCAGTCTGTGCAGACTAGTTCAGACCCCTGTAGTGGCAGGGTTATTGTCGTGATCAGTGCAGTTACGGATGCTGACCTGTGGCTCACAAGTGGTCATCTTTGCTAGTCGTGATCAGTGCGGTTACGGATGCTGACCTGTGGCTCACAAGTGGTCATCTCTGCTAGTCCGCCTCAAGCGGCCATTTTATGTAATTGACCTCATCTCTTAATGATAAATAGATGTCAGGGAGTGTCTGGACAGGGACTGGGTCACCTCACTGTCTGGCCGATGTCGGCTCCCAATACCGACAACGTACACGATTCCGGTGAAGATACAGAACACCGAAGATAAGCCTCCATCAAGCCCACTGGGACAGATACAAGCCCACACGATATCAGAACGTCGAAACATCGGAATTAATTATTAAAAGTTCAGTCTTCTAGACGATTATGCCCAGCCCACCACAGATGATGCCCAGCCCACCAGAGATGATGCCCAGCCCACCACAGATGAGAGCTTTGCTAGTCACCCGCCATGTTTTTCGTTTATGAGAACTGCCCATATATGGTTGTGTGTAAGCAGACATTGAGCATGTAGACAATATACAAGGCCCATTGGTGCACAGCGATTGGGCGTGTACAGAAACCCAACAGTCCACAGTCTTGAGCACGTCTAGCTCAGGTCAGGTGTCACACACAGGCAAGACGCGATCAGCACTGATGGAGGAAATGAAGACACTGCAGAAATAAATGCAACAACAAACTGCATACAAGCAGTCCTAGGTTGTAGTTGATACAGTATAGTGAGATCCCACTGCTGGACAATGATGGCTGGCTGCACACTGTCTGTAGACAGTATACTTCAGAACCCACTATTGGACAATGATGGCTGGCTGCACACTGTCTGTAGACAGTATACTTTAGAACCCACTACTGGGCAATGATGGCTGGCTGCACACTGTCTGTAGACAGTATACTTTAGAACCCACTACTGGACAATGATGGCTGGCTGCACACTGTCTGTAGACAGTATAGTGAGAACCCACTATTGGACAGTGATGGCTGACTGCACACTGTCTGTAGACAGTATAGTGAGAACCCACTATTGGACAGTGATGGCTGGCTGCACACTGTCTGTAGACAGTATAGTGAGAACCCACTGCTGGGCAATGATGGCTGACTGCACACTGTCTGTAGACAGTATACTTGAGATCCCACTACTGGGCAATGATGGCTGGCTGCACACTGTCTGTAGACAGTATAGTGAGAACCCACTGCTGGGCAATGATAGCTGGTTGCACACTGTCTGTAGACAGTATACTTGAGATCCCACTACTGGGCAATGATGGCTGACTGCACACTGTCTGTAGACAGTATACTTGAGATCCCACTACTGGGCAATGATGGCTGACTGCACACTGTCTGTAGACAGTATACTTGAGATCCCACTACTGGGCAATGATGGCTGGCTGCACACTGTCTGTAGACAGTATACTTGAGATCCCACTACTGGGCAATGATGGCTGGCTGCACACTGTCTGTAGACAGTATACTTGAGATCCCACTGCTGGGCAATGATGGCTGGCTGCACACTGTCTGTAGACAGTATACTTCAGAACCCACTATTGGGCAATGATGGCTGGCTTCACACTGTCTGTAGACAGTATACTTGAGAACCCACTGCTGGGCAATGATGGCTGGCTGCACACTGTCTGTAGACAGTATACTTGAGAACCCACTGCTGGGCAATGATGGCTGGCTGCACACTGTCTGTAGACAGTATACTTGAGATCCCACTACTGGGCAATGATGGCTGACTGCACACTGTCTGTAGACAGTATACTTTAGAACCCACTGCTGGGCAATGATGGCTGGCTGCACACTGTCTGTAGACAGTATACTTTAGAACCCACTACTGGGCAATGATGGCTGGCTGCACACTGTCTGTAGACAGTATACTTTAGAACCCACTGCTGGGCAATGATGGCTGGCTGCACACTGTCTGTAGACAGTATACTTTAGAACCCACTACTGGGCAATGATAGCTGGCTGCACACTGTCTGTAGACAGTATACTTTAGAACCCACTACTGGGCAATGATGGCTGGTTGCACACTGTCTGTAGACAGTATACTTCAGAACCCACTATTGGGCAATGATGGCTGGCTGCACACTGTCTGTAGACAGTATACTTCAGAACCCACTATTGGGCAATGATGGCTGGCTGCACACTGTCTGTAGACAGTATACTTCAGAACCCACTATTGGGCAATGATGGCTGGCTGCACACTGTCTGTAGACAGTATACTTCAGAACCCACTATTGGGCAATGATGGCTGGCTGCACACTGTCTGTAGACAGTATACTTCAGAACCCACTATTGGGCAATGATGGCTGGCTGCACACTGTCTGTAGACAGTATACTTCAGAAACCACTATTGGGCAATGATGGCTGGTTGCACACTGGCTGTAGAAGGTATACTGTGCTTGTAATCCATGTTATGCCTGAAACCACTCATGGGCAGTAATGGCTGGCTGCACACTGTCTGTAGAAGGTGTACTGTGCTTGTAATCCATGTTATGCCTGAAACCACTCATGGGCAGTAATGTCTGGTTGCACGCAGACAGTGAGCATGTAGTTGTCGCAGTTCCATGCTCAATAGGTCTCTGCAATGATCATCAACGAAGTCATGCGTGGAACATCTTTAATTTGGTTTCGTTTTTGTGACTTTAACATTCAAGAAAATCTGGTGGTTTAAGTGCAGGTCACAACAGAAATCATCGCACACAAATCAAAAAGCAAATTGTGGCGTGTATTGTTGCTAACATGGAGCGCGCACAGAGTTCAGTGAAGCATGATTTATAAACGAGATGGTCCAAGTATACCCTAGAGGGCTTCCAGGCTTCGAGGATTGGTCAGCAGTTCCCTGACTAGTCGCCATACTTGTTTGGCCACGTTGTCCATGGCGGCGGCCGACTTTCCCTTGAACAGATCCACGGTGGGCAGGAAGTACTGCGGGCAGCGGCGGTTCTGCAGGCAGGAGATCAGCTGCAGGAGGATGCCATTGATGCGGTCGCCGATATAGGTGTCGTCCCACTCTATCTCCCGGGGATGCTTCTCACATTCGTACAGCAGCAGGGTCTTCATGTGGTAGTTGAGGATTGGCTGGCCGGGGATGTCCAGGTGCCGGTCACGGAGCGTCTTGAGGATGCTGAGGCAACGTCTGCGACATCCCCCGTACAGCAGACGATCCTCGGCGTAGCGGAACGACATGACCCAAGCATCACCTTCCGCCGCCGACTGCTTGTCCTTCATGTATATGCTCTCCTTGGACAGGAGGTCGAACCCGTCGGTCTTTACCTCGGCCACCAAGTTGGGATTGGGCCAAGAGACGTGTGGCATGGGCCAGTGAGCCGCCGACCGGCACCAGATACCGCCACATCTGAAGGCTGGCGTGATCTGCACCACGTAGCGCTCCTTGATCCTCAGCTTGACCTCCGTAGTGTCCGGGATCATCTTGACCACGTCGCGGTAGCTGCACTTGTCCACGGCTTGAGCCACCAACGTCTGAAAGCGGGATCTGATTTTACGAGCACTCAAGTAACCGGAAGCCGTGATGAACTCAACCCACAGGGACATGGATCGTTTGCGACCGTCAGACAACTTGAGCACGGCACAGCCTGGTATAGTCCCGTCGTCCACGAAGTTAAAGACGCCCATCTGGTTGAGGTAGAGCACCACCTCAAACTCTGTGGCGGAGATGACTTCCACACCTTCGTATCGCATGTTGACTTCAGTCAGCGAGCTGTAGACATAACATGGACAAGATTAGTCAACCTCTAAGCGAGCGGTAGACAAAACATGGACAAGATTAGTCAACCTCTAAGCGAGCTGTAGACACAACATGGACAAGATTAGTCAACCTCTAAGCGAGCGGTAGACAAAGCATGGACAAGATTAGTCAACCTCTAAGCGAGCTGTAGACAAAACATGGACAAGATTATTCAACCTCTAAGCGAGCGGTAGACACAACATGGACAAGATTAGTCAACCTCTAAGCGAGCGGTAGACACAACATGGATAAGATTAGTCAACCTCTAAGCGAGCGGTAGACAAAACATGGACAAGATTAGTCAACCTCTAAGCGAGCGGTAGACAAAACAAGGACAAGATTAGTCAACCTCTAAGCGAGCGGTAGACAAAACATGGACAAGATTAGTCAACCTCTAAGCGAGCGGTAGACAAAACATGGACAAGATTAGTCAACCTCTAAGCGAGCGGTAGACAAAACATGGACAAGATTAGTCAACCTCTAAGCGAGCTGTAGACAAAACATGGACAAGATTAGTCAACCTCTAAGCGAGCTGTAGAGAAAACATGGACAAGATTAGTCAACCTCTAAGCGAGCTGTAGACAAAACATGGACAAGATTAGTCAACCTCTAGAGAACTAGCATTGCAACACTCTTCAAAACTGCCTGATCATTCAAGTCGACCTAGCCATGGCAACCTACTCACTACATCCTTCAGTCCTCTTATATTTCTACTACCAGTAAATCATCGCTGTAACGCTTTCTGTCCCAACAAGTTCTCCACTAAAGCTGCTAATGTTTGGCGCTTGTGCACTTTAAATAACGCTGTAGAACAGTAGTGACTAACCGTTTCAATAAAACCAGCCATGTATAACGGTCAGTAACAGAAACCTGCACACAAACGAGGGTTTTTTTATTTTTTTAATTTTTTTTCTGTACAAACTGTAATTTCTTTTCTTTTTTTTTTTTTTTTTTTTTTTTTTTTTGCAGACCGCCAGCTATATTTTTTGTTTTTGTTTGATACAGGTGTTGAGGTAGACATGGGAACAAAATGCCATGGACCGTGTTGTGTGGAGAGGGCAAATCAGGAGGACAATGGGAGTGAGGGGAGAAATGATTGCAGAAAAGATGAGAGCTGAGCGTCTGAGAAGAAACGGATTAAACACAAATGTTGACAACAATGGTCCTTAAATCCCATGCTATCATTGTGGAAGACTTTTCTTGACACGGGCGGGTCTTGCTAGTCACACTCGCCATCGCCATGGGCTGTGAGTCTTATGCCTCCTCATAGTGCAATATAAAACTATCGTCTGGAAAGACGGAAAGGTGCCCGTGATCAATAGATACATCAGTAGGCGCGCCTGGTCGAGTGGTTACACCTTGGGACTATCATGCGCGAGACCCGGGTTCGATTGCCGTTAAGTTTTTCGGTCGGGGGCAGAAATAAACATCCTAACCCACACAGTCGGAGGCGACAGTGCTAGTTGTCAAGTGATCAAGCCGTTTGCCTTTCTATCTAAGGCTCGTGGCTACATTTCGACGACGCGTCGATCATTTCACCTGTATGATTTTTACGGAAGCCCTAGGGATCGTCACTGGAGCTACGGAGCTCGTCCTGTGTTCGACAATGGCGGCAGTAGGCGGCGAGCCGTTCGGCTGAGAAAAATATATGCTCCTGTGCAATAAAGCCGAACCTCCCGACTTTAAATGTGAGCTTCAACTTTAGTGTTGGTGAAATCTGGGCACAGTTGTGGTCATCATTTCATAAACGTGACCGTTTTGACAAGAGCAGCTAAAGGAGCTGTACTTCATTGTACGGATACGACCAGTCAGAAGAGGTACCGAACTGTTGCACTCATTCTGTCTCCGTCGTTTTGTGAGCCGAGTGAACGGACGCTTCATTGACTGCTAGCCTTAAATCTTCATAGACCAAACAACACTTGTGCCATGTGATCAGTATTACACCGCCGACTTTGCTTTCCAAAATATTTCCTGTCACATGTGTTTATACTCGGAAGCCCAAATTTAAAGGGAAAAAATTTGATAGTTTAATGGGATTCGACCCTGCAACCACTGATTCAGTAATCAGGCGTGCTGTCCGCTGGCCCTTATGCAGCTTTCTGGGTATGTTTAGTGTACATTTCTGTGCTGTCTCGTGCTGTGTCAGTGGCTGATCAGATACCGGTTGTCTCCGTATCCCATAATTGTAGGCTCCAGGAAACAGATCTACTTGGTAAATGAAGACATCTGCTTTAGGTTTATCTTTTCTGGAAATCGGATGTGTTGCAACAGCCTAGCTGTAAACCACAACATAAGCTTTTAGGGGCGAACGCAAAAGAAAGAGGTTTGTTTTGCCGTGAGCTAAATACACTTTTACTTTTAACTAAGGAACGTCGTTGTCGCCATGTGGATCAGATGTGGTTTCTTCCACAGAGAATCGGTCAAATCAAAGAGTTCAGGAACAAATGGTCTGCTAAACAAATACAACGAATATGGAGATTTAGCCAGCCAACAATGGGCTGCGTTAGGAGATGAAACGGTATAGTTATGGGCATTCATAACTGACAAGTATTTACAGTCATAAATAGTCAGATAAGCGTGCGGTTTACTACACGAATAGAAATAATACAGAAGTAAATAGAGTGACCATAGTAATTTGAACTGAAAACGGAACGTTCCCTAGCAAGTCAGTTTTAGCCCACTTCCCCTAAGTTAGCAGACTGTAAAAGGCGGAACATTGTCGCTTAGAAATAAACGAAACAACGCGATCTGTTAGTGCACTGAGGACACAATAGAGAATAAACAGGCAGAGGTAAATACAAGAAGTGAATACAGTAAATAAATATCGGTTCTTTCATTTCACCCTATCTCGGTGACTGCGAGATTCCGTAGGGAGTTCCCGGGGAAGTCCAGGATTGTGGAGGGTTAGGGTTATTGTTAGTCGTTGTTCATTTCACACCCTACCACCCCTATACAGTTGGGATTTCTCAGGACTTCCCCATGAAATCTCGGAGCTCCCTAGATGGGGTTGAAATAAAAGAAAAGAACCCAAATATCAGTTTGAGATTATAGAGAAGTAAATGTGAGAAAAAATCATCATAAAACAGAAATACAAACATCTGATCAACAAATGACGATAAAGTAGATGCGCGCTGGATAGCCAGTCTTCACTGCCCAGCCTGGTTTTGCCGGTTATGGATTCCACTACTCAGTGAGTTTCAGTAGTTTGCCATTGTTACAGAACGGTCACTACTGTTGAAACTAATGCAAGGCGATTTGTTGCCAAATCGCCCGCAGCTGGTATCGAACCCACACCTTGGAGTTACGAGGCGCGTTGGCAACGCTTAAACCACAGAGTTGTTTAGTGTGATAAATATTTATTCCGGACATTAGAGACTGATTGAGATCGGTAAATGAAACCGGGCGACACTGAACTGATTAATGTCAACAGTAAAGACATGGATACATCCATCGACGCATTGAATAATAAGACAGAATCACTGACTTATGGAAGATTGTATGATCAAATATCTGACAGCGAATACATTGGTTCAATGGAAAAAGTAGTAATGTGGATTAAATGAATAAATAGTAATTAAATCTATTAAAGGTAATAAATAGATTACATGAATAAATAGGAATTAAATATATTGAAGCTAATAAATTGATTACATGAATAAACGTGTAATTAAAAATGTTGAACGTAATAATTGCCTTGAATAAATAAATGACAATTAAAACTGTAGGAGGCAATAAATTGGTTAAATAAATAAATACTGAATAAAACTATTGAGAAAATAAATGGTTTAAATTAATTTTTTTAAAGCAAATAATTTAAAATATTGAAATAAAGCGACTAAATGAATTATATACTCAAAAAGTCATTGGTGAAATCATAAATTAAAGTGGTTTACAAATAAATGGAAGTGTGAAGTAATTTCTGGGTGTCATTCGGCACGGGTGAGTTGGGGGAATAAATGATGTCTTGGGGAATGAATGAATGATGTGTTGGGGAAGGAATGATGTGTTGGGAAATGAATGAATGATGTGTTGGGAAGTGAACGAATAATGTGTTGGGAAGTGAACGAATGATGTCTTGGGAAGTGAACGAATGATGTGTTGGGAAGTGAACGAATGATGTGTTGGGAAGTAAACGAATGATGTGTTGGGGAAGGAATGATGATGAGTTAGTGCATGAATGATGTGTTGATGAATGAATGATGTGTTGATGAATTAATAATGTGTTGCTGAATGAATGGTGGGTGAATAATACTGGTGACGACAGGAAAGTTGCAGGGGAAGAAAGGCAAAGGGAGATCAGGAGAAAAGACGCTGGTGCGCATGGAAGACCATCTGTGTCACAACTGATTGAAAGTAGCTAAGGTGGAGGTTTCACATGTGGACATTGAACCGTGTCACAACTGATTGAAAGTAGCTAAGGTGGAGGTTTCAGGACATTGAACCGTGTCACAACTGAAGAGTGCTGGTGTTTCACATGACATTGAACCGTGTCACCTAAGGTGGAGGTTTTCACATGTGGACATTGAACCGTGTCACAACTGATTGAAAGTAGCTAAGGTGGAGGTTTCACATGTGGACATTGAACCGTGTCACAACTGATTGAAAGTAGCTAAGGTGGAGGTTTCACATGTGGACATTGAACCGTGTCACAACTGATTGAAAGTAGCTAAGGTGGAGGTTTCACATGTGGACATTGAACCGTGTCACAGCTGATTGGTTTAGATTTAAAGATAATTCTGTATATGCTATTGATTTAAAGATAATTCTATAAATGTTATAGATTTAAAGATAATTCGTTATATGGTATTGATTTAAAGATAATTCTATATATGGTATAGATTTATTGATGCTTCTGTATGTGATATAGATTTAATCATGCTTCTCTGTGTGGAGTAGATTTATTGATGGTTGGTTCTCTGTGGTTTAGATTGATTGGATAATTTTGTAAAAGGCATAGATTTATTGATAGTTCTATATCTGGTATAGATTTATTGATGGTTTTATATCTGGTATAGATTTATTGATGGTTCTACATCTGGTATAGATATATTGATGGTTTAGATTGATTTGATAATTATGTATATGGTATAGATTTATTGATATTTCTGCATACTGGTGTGTGTGTGTGTGTTTATGTGATATAGATCTAACTTGGGGCGATTTATTGAAGGTTTGTCAAATGGTATAGTTTGAATAACGGTTCTGCAGCTGGCATAGATTTATTGATGGTTCTATAACTGGTATAGATCTATTGATGGTTCTACATTTGGTATAGATTTATTGATGGTTCCAAATCTGGTATAGATTTATTAATGTTGCTATAGCTGGTATAGATTTATTAATGTTGCTATAGCTGGTATAGATTTATTAATGTTGCTATAGCTGGTATAGATTTATTGATGGTTCCAAATCTGGTATAGGTTGCTATAGCTCATTAATGTTGGTATAGCTGGTATGATGTTGCTATAGCTGGTATAGATTTATTAATGGTGCTATAGCTGGTATAGATTTTTGATTGCTATATGGTATAGATTTATAATGTTGCTATACTGGTATAGATTTTTAATGTTGCTATAGCTGGTATAGTGGTCTATACTGGTATAGATTTATTAATGGTGCTATAGCTGGTATAGATTTATTAATGGTGCTATAGCTGGTATAGATTTATTAATGTTGCTATAGCTGGTATAGATTTATTAATGGTGCTATAGCTGGTATAGATTTATTAATGGTGCTATAGCTGGTATAGATTTATTAATGGTGCTATAGCTGGTATAGGAAAAAAATAGCTGGCATGGATAGGAGACTTCTCTTGAATCAGTGTGGTAAAATATAGGGGTGGTGGGTGGCATAAGTGACAGGTGGGTGGCATTAGAGACAGGTGGGTGGCATAAGTGACAGGTGGGTGGTATTAGGGACAGATGGGTGGCATAAGTGACAGGTGGGTGACATTAGAGACAGGTGGGTGGTATTAGGGACAGATGGGTGGTATTAGGGACAGATGGGTGGCATAAGTGACAGGTGGGTGACATTAGAGACAGGTGGGTGGTATTAGGGACAGGGTGGCATAAGTGACAGGTGGGTGACATTAGAGACATAGGGACAGATGGGTGGTATTAGGGACAGATGGGTGGTATTAGGGACAGATGGGTGGTATTAGGGACAGATGGGTGGCATAAGTGACAGGTGGGTGACATTAGAGACAGGTGGGTGGTATTAGGGACAGGTGGGTGGCATAAGTGACAGGTGGGTGACATTAGAGACAGGTGGGTGGTATTAGGGACAGATGGGTGGTATTAGGGACAGATGGGTGGTATTAGGGACAGATGGGTGGTATTAGGGACAGATGGGTGGTATTAGGGACAGATGGGTGGTATTAGGGACAGATGGGTGGTATTAGGGACAGATGGGACACCAGGACTGGACATGGAGGGAGTCGCTGGAGGTAATATCTGATGGGTCGACTTGAGGGTTGAGGCTTTTTTCTTGATGGGAGGCAGAAGTGGGGGCAAGTCTATGCTAATGATGATGGTGATGATGGAAGTGATGGTGATCGTCTGTGACATCGGGTATACTGGAGGATTGGAGTGGGCTGGGCTGGAGAGACGTGCTGGGTGATGTCGGTGGGGATCATTATAACTATTATTATGTTTATGATTACCTGATGAACCTTGGCTCCTGAACCTCTACCTCTTTGAGGACATCCTGAACCACCTTGCAGACCTCCCTGATGGTCTTGTTGATGTTGGCCTTGCGCGCGTGCACCCGCTCGTTGTAGTACTTGTTGATCTGGAACAGCAGCTTGGACTGAGCCGACATCATGTCTGGGGACGTGCCTTCCAGCAACATATTCCCGTCCGGCTGTAGCTCGCCCACCTGCTGCTGCTGCTGCTGGTTGAGGTGGTGAGGATGTTGCCCTGACAGCAGCTTCCAGTAGTCGAAGAACGCTGGGTGTTCTTCCGCTTTCTGTTCTGATCTTATTTACAATGAAACGATTTCTGAAGACACCGTAAATTCTCTGGGAAATATCAAGCTGAAGTATCACAGCTACGATAGACTGAAACCTGTTGTCTGTCTGAAGATAGAATGGAGATTTTGCCAGGAGAATCTCTGACTGCAGACAGCTGTCGGATTTCTGCAGACAGGCTGAACTTGTCTTATTGTTGTCTCATATTCATTGGTTGTTTTCCGATTCCTGAAGGTACTTGCTGCCTCCCGAGTATCTATTGTTGTGTCAGCGACACTGGAGGCTGCTCGTGGTTAGTCAGTGCTGGCTGTGGGACGGTGGCTCCGTTGGTAGTTGTGTGGCTGGCAGTTGTAGTGGGCTGACGCTTGTGTCTGGTGTGGCGGGCCGGTGATCTGAACCTGCAATAGAGAGAACATCTGGACGATTATAGTCAGGCAGGTTCTTGCACAGAAATTAGTTACTGGCATTTATTTGTTTAACCAATATTGGTTCTGGCATTTATTTGTTCAACTGACGTTGGTTCCGGCATTTATTTGTTTAACTGACATTGGTTCCGGCATTTATTTGTTTAACTGACATTGGTTCCGGCATTTATTTGTTTTACTGACATTGGTTCCGGCATTTATTTGTTTAACTGACATTGGTTCCGGCATTTATTTGTTTAACTGACATTGGTTCCGGCATTTATTCGTTTAACTGACATTGGTTCCGGCATTTATTTGTTTTACTGACATTGGTTCCGGCATTTATTTGTTTAACGGGCATTAGTTCCTGGCATTTTTCTGTTTAACTGACATTAGTTCCTGGCATTTATTTGTTTAACTGACATTGGTTCCGGCTATTGTTGTACCGAATATTCGCTTCGGGGCCGAATAGTGGACCTAATAACTATTCGGTATTCGGCCGAATACTTGCGGTCGGGCCGAATACGAATAGTGGTTACCTTACACCCGTTTCTGCATACACTGCGAATGAATCTCTCATTAACACAATAGTTGCTGTTGCCTAATTCTGTCGTAGCGGGTCTTTGCCTGCTGACTCGACCGAGGCATAGCAGAGGTTTCCAAACTGGGTGCGTATGCCAGGGATGACGCTACGAAAATCAAGAAAAGCCGGCTATAAATTGTAACATTATTAAAGAAGGCATGAAGATACTTAGAAGTTAAAATTTAAATTGTCTTTCCTCGGCAGTGTTAAAAAGAGGTTTTTTTTTTTTTTAATTTTTTTTTTACACTCAACATCATACTGCATAAAATGCTAAAAATTGTCTTCGTATTTATCTCGAGGAGCGACCGATCCTCCATCTGTATTCGTGAAGGTGCAGCGGATAAGTAAGGTTGTGATTACATTTTGGCTGAAATTTTAAAGTGGAAAATGTGGTCTGTACAATAGTCACCGTTAGCCTCATTAAGTAAGTACTTATTTTTAAAGGCAACGCATTGTGAGTCCTGGACAATCGGTAGGCAGGCCAAACAATTTCTTAAGGCCTTAGAGATGTGGTTTTACAGAACAATGCTTAAAATACTATGGACAGTCACACACAAAAAGCAACCAAGAGGTTTTGAAAGTTGCGGGAGCCCGAAGACAACTAATCACAGACATCAGAAGGAGACAGTCGTCATTTTGTGGCCTTGTTATGAGAAGAGGGAAAATGGGACAAGTGGTGACCACTGGAAAGATCTGTGAAAGGAGAGATAGAGGAAGATTCTTGACAGTCTTGTTGCATGGCATGGAGGTGTGTCAGCACACGAACTGATATTTAATCGCCCACGCCAGTCTGCAAGGCACCTGGTGATGATGATGACAATACACTATTTGTATTCTCATTCGTATTAGGCCGAATATTTGATCCTGCTATTCGAATTCGGCGGAATAGTAAAAATCACTATTCGGTACAGCCCTAGTTCCGGCATTTATTTGTTGAAGGGACATTAGTTCCTGGCATTTTTCTGTTTAACTGGCATTAATTCCTGGCATTTATTTAGCGTACATTAGTTCCTGGCATTTGTAAGTTCAAAGTGCATTAATTCCTGACATTTATTTGGTTTACACAGATTAATTCCTGACATTTATTCCGTCTTCGTGACAGCCACATGATATTTGTTTTATAATCTATGTATATGTTTGTGTGACATTTTGTTATTGTTGTTGTGGCAGATCACGAGGATAACTGAGTTAACATTTCGGTACAAAAGTCCTGAACAAAATATATGGCGTCTGTCGCCCGAGGTTGGACAACTAACTAGAGACTGGTCTGCCGAGCCGCTACCAAAATATGTAATCTGTAGAGGTCTCTGTCCGTGTCAGTTTAGACATCCATTTACTGATAAATTTCAGTGTCTGTTACCTTGTACATTTAGAGTTCTGTGTCCCTATCAGTTTAGAGTTCTGTGTCCCTATCAGTTTAGAGTTCTGTTTGCCTATCAGTTTAGAGTTATGTGTCCCTATCAATTAAGAGTTCTGTGTCCCTATCAGTTTAGAGTTCTGTGTCCCTATCAGTTTAGAGTTCTGTTTGCCTATCAGTTTAGAGTTATGTGTCCCTATCAATTTAGAGTTCTGTGTCCCTATCAGTTTAGAGTTCGGTGTCCCTGTCAATTTAGAGTTCTGTGTTCCTATCAGTTTAGAGTTCGGTGTCCCTATCAGTTTAGAGTTCCGTGTCCCTATCAATTTAGAGTTATCTGTCACTATCAATTTAGAGACATATATACATGTCGAGCTAGAGTTCTGTGTCTGTAAATTTAGATATGTATGCCCCTGTAAATGTAAATATGTATGCCCTTATAAATGTAAATATGTATGCCCTTGTAAATGTAAATATATAAATGCCCCTGTAAATGTAAATATGAATGCCCCTGTAAATGTAAATATATATGCCCCTATAAATGTAAATATGTATGCCCCTGTAAATGTAAATATGTATGTCCTGTAAATGTAAATATGTATGCCCCTGTAAATGTAGATATATTTGTGCCTGTAAATTAGGAGCCATGTAATTTGACAGATGTGTTCTTGTATTCCAGTGAGGTAGTTCTGTCAGTGTTCTTGTATTCCAGTGAGGTAGTTCTGCCGGTGTTCTTGTATTCCAGTGAGGTAGTTCTGTCAGTGTTCTTGTATTCCAGTGAGGTAGTTCTGCCGGTGTTCTTCTATTCCAGTGAGGTAGTTCTGTCAGTGTTCTTGTATTCCAGTGAGGTAGTTCTGCCAGTGTTCTTCTATTCCAGTGAGGTAGTTCTGCCGGTGTTCTTCTATTCCAGTGAGGTAGTTCTGCCAGTGTTCTTGTATTCCAGTGAGGTAGTTCTGCCAGTGTTCTTGTATTCCAGTGAGGTAGTTCTGCCAGTGTTCTTGTATTCCAGTGAGGTAGTTCTGCCGTAGCAGTTCTAAATCTCTGATTGTGCCCTGTGTGTGTCTGCATTCATCTAGAGTTTCTCTCCCTGTACTTACCTGAAATGTTTCTTTCTTACATGTAAATTATTCTGTCCTTGTTGTAAATGGCTTTTTCCTAGCTGTAAATGGTTTTATCCTATATGCAATGGTTGTCCTAGTTGTAAATGGTTATGTCCTGGTTGTAAATGGTTTTATCCTAGCTGTAAATGGTTTTATCCTAGTTGTAAATGGTTTTATCCTAGTTGTAAATGGTTTTATCCTAGCTGTAAATGGTTTTATCCTAGTTGTAAATGGTTTTATCCTAGCTGTAAATGGTTTTATCCTAGTTGTAAATGGTTTTATCCTAGTTGTAAATGGCTTTATCCTAGTTGTAAATGGTTTTATCCTAGCTGTAAATGGTTTTATCCTATATGCAATGGTTGTCCTAGTTGTAAATGGTTATGTCCTGGTTGTAAATGGTTATGTCCTAGTTGTAAATGGTTATGTCCTGGTTGTGAATGGTTATGCCCTAGTTGTAAATGGTTATGTCCTAGTTATAAATGGTTATGTCCTGGTTGTGAATGGTTATGTCCTGGTTGTAAATGGTTTTATCCTAGCTGTAAATGGTTTTATCCTAGTTGTAAATGGTTTTATCCTAGCTGTAAATGGCTTTATGCTAGTTGTAAATGGTTTTATCCTAGCTGTAAATGGCTTTATCCTAGTTGTAAATGGTTATGCCCTAGTTGTAAATGGTTATGTCCTAGTTATAAATGGTTATGTCCTGGTTGTGAATGGTTATGTCCTGGTTGTAAATGGTTTTATCCTAGCTGTAAATGGCTTTATCCTAGTTGTAAATGGTTTTATCCTAGCTGTAAATGGCTTTATCCTAGTTGTAAATGGTTTTATCCTAGTTGTAAATGGCTTTATCCTAGTTGTAAATGGCTTTATCCTAGCTGTAAATGGTTTTATCCTATATGCAATGGTTGTCCTAGTTGTAAATGATTATATCCTGGTTGTAAATGGTTATGTCCTAGTTGTAAATGGTTATGTCCTGGTTGTAAATGGTTATATCCTGGTTGTAAATGGTTATGTCCTGGTTGTGAATGGTTTTGCCCTAGTTGTAAATGGTTATGTCCTAGTTGTAAATGGTTATGTCCTTGTTGTGAATGGTTATGTCGTAGTTGTAAATGGTTAGGACCTAGTTGTGAATGATTATGTCCTAGTTGTAAATTGTTACGCCCTAGTTGTAAATAGTTATGACCTAGTTGTAAATGGTTCTGTCCTACTTAACACTTAAGGTTTCTATCCTAGTTGTTAATGGTTCTATTCTAGATAATGTAAAGTCTTATGTCCTGACCTCGTTAATTGAAAGGTTTGTGTTCTTGTTAATCTAGAGAAGCGTTATTCGAAGTGTTTCTGTCCGTGAAATCAACTCCCATTCTTCCGTTCGTTCTGTTATCTAAGCCTTCCCTCTCCCTGTTGTCACTGTAACTGTGTCTATCGAGACTGTACCGTCCTTGTT